CAGAAGTTTCACTAGTAGAAAATAAGTCATATGACTTAAATCAAGCAACTTTTACCTACTGAACACTAAATTGGTCTTTAATGGAATCTTGGATAGTCATGGCCCCATTTCCTATGCTCTTAAAGCCTGTATTTACATCACTTAGTTGGATGTTCTTGGCAAGCATTCAGCATGTACCTCTACCAAAACCAACCAACCAAAACTGTTCTTGATAACACAGGCAAATGGACAGCTAAATCCTCTTTTCAGTTTGAACTCTCATCTAAAGAAGTATCATAACAGTCAAATATCATATAACTCAAAGAATGGGAATTTTCCGTTTTCTGTTTTCCTCAGCATGTAACAAGTTCCAGGGGCTAGAATTTACATCTGCATAGAGGTTGAGTGTCCATCCAGTGTCCACCAGTAGCTTGGTTGGATTAATTAAATCTTGAAATACAAAATCAATTCTCAAATCACTCATATAAGCACTAGGTGAGGTCTGGGTTTCCTTTTTCAAATCTGATTTATAGAATAGTGCTAAAGAGGTAATCCAGAATATTCAAGCCAGAACTTTTAAAATACAGTTGTTAAATATAAAGGTTACGAACTTTTTGTTTTGGCCAAATTCTTCTGAGCTTTTACTCTAGTAATCATCTAAATCTGACCCACTTCATAATTTTTTTTAATGTCTGTAACAATTCTTTTTTACTTCACACTCAAAATCTTGATTCAAAGAGTTAAAATTTGTCCAACTAAAGAGACTTCTGTGATTAGCAGACTCTGTATTTATACCTTTTAAGATGGGGTGGTTTAATAGTTTCCACTAACTCTTTCTTTAAACCACAAAGAGTAGTTTCAGATAATTTTTGGCGGCTAGGCTGGTCACCATGTCCACATTTTCCTCACACAGCATGACCTCGCTCCCTACTTCTGGTGATGTGCTTGTTCATTATTTTAAGCCATTGATCTTGCCACAAAATACAATTTTATCTTTGATCAGTTAACATCAAAGGAAAATGTTGAGCCTGTGGTTTCAAAGACTACCCTTAAAAGCTTTCATTTCTCTCTTCCAAAAGTACATTTTAAAAAAATGTACGTAGTGGGACCAGCAGGTGGCATAGTGGTTAAGACGCTGGACTCCCACATGGCCAACTGTGGTTCGAGTCCTGAACCTGGCAACTTGAAACTCACAGATACTGAACATTATGGATAATTAATGGGGAAATTTTTTTTTCTGCTTAAATTAAAAATGGTATTTATCGTTTCACAATTTGTTTTCTAACAATGCATATACAGACAGTATTTGGCCCATCTCTTGGTATCTTGTGAAATATTTCTAAGTCTCTTAAATCCTGGCTTATATACTGAGGACATATTATATACTTATAGTAATAGTGAATTGTGGAGTACAGGGTCGCTACTTTTGTTTCAAAGATAGTGAAGTAGGATTTTTGTAGCTATAGTGTGAACTCTACAGCTAGATTTATACCATTTATTTATACCGTAAGTCAAAGGAATGTATTTGCTCATGGCTGCTCTATGCCAGACAATTCAAGTCTAGAAAAAGAATAAGTTTCACGTGGTATGAATATATATATACCTCGCCAGTGAGTAACTATCACAGAAGATATAGTGAAATAGCCTTAAGCCACCTATTGTTTGCCCTCTTTTTTCCCCCTCCTTTAATATAGCGTATAAGGAAAGGATAACATTTCTTCCTTTTCTGAAAATGAGCTCTATGATGCTTAAACAACTACTGTGTAGTCATTACATGTGTACTATGTAATGTATTACATGTGTGTATCAGCATAGTGAACTAGTAGTGCAAGTAAGGATTGTACAGAGGACATTATTTTTAAGAATTATTTTATTTAACCTTATTTATTTATTTATTTATTTCATTTGAACAGAGAGAGACAGAGCAAGAACAAGTGAGAGAGAGAAAAAGTGAGAAAGCAAGCCACCAGGTCCAGGATTCAAACTGTGGTCAGCCATGTGGAAATCCAGCACCCTTAACCACCATACCACCGGCTGGCCCCCAGAGGACATTATTTATCTCTAGAATGGAAAACTTCTGCTTTTAAGTGTGTTTCCTCTCTGGGATTAGGGCCTGTGGTGTTTTGCTGTTTTAATTTGTTGATACATCTGAGACAGCCACAGAACGTTTTACAGAATATCAAGACTATTTCCAATAATTGTCTTGTTAAAATTGGTTTCTGGGGACCAGCAGATGGCATAATATTTACATTGCTGGATTCCCATGTCATTGACTGTGGTTTAAGTCCCGGATCCAGCCATTTAAAGCTCACACCGGATACATGTGCGTGCATGCCCAAGATCCCGAGAGGAGAATGGAGAGAAGGGATTGAGGCATGGCTATACCTCCTGGGAGGGGGGGTGATTTCCTGCTTTCTGTCTGTCTGTCTCTGTCTTTCTGGTGAGCACACGCAACCTATAGCAAAAACTTATCTTAAAAAAAAAAAAGAAAAAGAAAACCTTGTTTCTGTTTATATACTTGTCCTACAATGTTAACGACTTAAATTGCTAAGGAAAATCAGGTATTTCTAGTCCCTTTAATTTCATAAGTCTTGATTTCCGAACACATTATGTATTCTGTTAAGTGTGGCTGAAAAGGCTCACAGACTCTCTGCCACTAAAGGGTTAAATTCTTCCATCAGATACATTTATGAGGGGCCAGAGCTGTGTCAGCTGCACTGTCTTTTTTTTTTTTTTTCACTTTCTAGTTCACTAATCAAATGTATGTTAGATTGATTATTGTAAAAGTATAAACCATAGAAAATTTGACAAGATAGATGTGTAAATTATCCTTTTGACAGAACTAATGATGCACTCCAAGCACCTTCTGTTTTCCGGCTCTTGGTGAGCAACTTCATTAAATATGCAATGGCTGTTGGGTGGCTTCTCAGATGATGGTTCAGTTCCTTGTGGAATTGCATTATTACTAGAGGTGTAAAAGCAGGCAGACAAGCTAGCTGTTGGGCATCCTGCTGAGGTTCTAATGTGCTCCATCTTGTTGGAGCAGTTGTTTGCAGTCTTTTCAGGACAATTACATCCATAACCACAGGACACATTCAGTGAAACTATATTACAGATAACAGTGGAGACTGGCATTGACTGGCTCTTCACCCCGCTCTCTTGAGCTGGCTCAGTGTGGGTAGCTTAGAGTAGCATAGTAATGCCCCTTCTAGCATTCACTGAGCAGACACCTTTTTAATTTTAATCCTGTGGGGCAAATCTAGAAATAACTGACTTTTAACTGTTTTTAAGTGCTTGAAACAATAGGATATTAGAGTTGTACACACTATAGATTCTAATCCATTTGCAGATGAGAAAACTGAGGATGAAACATATTTGTAAGTTGTCCCTTAGGAAGATAGTAGAAGGTCCTGGTAGAACATCTTTTAGGTGGTAGAGATGATGTAAATAGGAATTTGTACTATGTAGCTTCTGGTTTTAGAACTCTTAAACAAATTTTTCATTTTGAATTAAAGTATTTTTTCCTGCTG